TGTGTGTGTGTGTGTGTGTGTGTGTGTGTGTGTGTGTGTGTGTGTGTGTGTAGGCCCATACAGAGGTCAAAGGACAACCTTGGGTTTTGGTCCTCACCTTCCACCTTATTTGAGACAGAGTCTTTGAGGGTTGGATTTTTTTTTCTAGTGTACTCTGCCAGGTTAGTTGGCCTGCAAACTTCTGGAGATTCTCCTGTCTCTGTCTACCATTCCCCTGTAGGAACGCTGGGATTGCAGCTGCTCACTAACATCTGGCCTTTTCATGGGTTCTGAGGATTTGAACTCAGCTCGTCACACTTGTGAGGCCAACACTTCTTACCCACTGAGTCATCTCCCCAACCACACAATTACAATTTTAGAAAATTACTCCCAGTTCCCAGTAGAAAAAGAGTGGGCAAGGTGAGTATAGAAGCAGGGAGTAATTCAGAAGACCTTGCAGCTCACGGTGATAGGGTGTTGTCTAGACCACAAAGATGGCCAAAGACAGAAGTGGTGGGCCCAGCTTCCGGTTGGAAGAAGACAGGCTGCAACAGCAATGTGATTTCATTGAAGTGCAATCTCTTCCCAGGCCATCCAGACACCACGCAACGCTGTCTGCCTCAGAGACGCCAAACTGCAGCCAGGCACGGCCCCCATAATCAAGTGTTGCCCTATGAAAACACAAACCCAGGAAAACCTGTCCCCGCCAAGCCTGATGAAAAGGTAAGGTGGGAGCTTCTCCACAAGCCTTTCTAACTGTCCTTGGCATCCAGTGACAGCTTGCTGGGAAGAACCACAGCAAATCACTGTGATTGTCATTAATTATTTTCCCATATAATGACAAATCAGTGGGTTTTAATGTTTCTAAAATGTTTTGTTGACTCATAAGTCATTACTCTTTCCCTAGATTTTTAACCTGTGTGTTTTGCTGATTCTCAGAACATTCTGTTCATTAATTGTAGGGGTTGGGAGGGCAGGGCTGAGAAAGTCTTAGATTTGTATTCGTTAAGTTTCATGGATGATTAACTGGAATTTGAGTACTAGAATTCATTTCCCATCCAAAGATTTACAGGTCACATTTCAACTTCAGTTGAGCCTGGCAGCCATTTCCTGAGCATTGATGGTATGCGTCAGCATGAGGAGTCCAGATCCCGGACACAGAGGAGAGCTAGAAATGACTAATAAGTGGCTTCATTTGTCTTCATCTGTTTCATGGTCTCTCCCTAAAGCCAGCTCTGTTCGCACAGTCGCTTCTCAGTTCACCTTGCACTTGTAGTTCCCTCTAAGGAGAGGGAGCTCTTCCTGTCCTATCTGCTCTACCCTCCATTACCTATGACACTACTTACCACAGACAGCACAAAGGAAGATGGCATTGCCCTCATTCAGTACCCCTAGCTCATGGGTGCCCCCAGAGCTTCTCATGGCTCGTAAGTGAAGCATCTGGGATCTCTGATCAATTTCTTGTAAGTCCTATAGGATCTCAAGTTTCTCTGCTTGGCCTTATAATTAATCCCTACCTGATTCTCTAGAGGCTTCCCAATCTCCCTATGGACCCTGGAATTCTCTCTCATTTTCCCTTCGCATGGACCTGAGTCTTTGTCACTCTGCCGCTCTTGTACACCTTAGGATTCCTTGGCTATAACTCAATGTCTACATAAGACCAAACTCCTCCCAGAGCCGGAGTTCCAGGGCATGAGAGGGGCCTGGACTAGATCAGGATGTTCCTATTTTCAACAGCTCAACAAATCTTATGACTTGTGACAGATCTAAATCCTCTCAATAAAGATATCTGTGTAATATTCGGCAACTTGGCTGCTTTCACTTTCCATTGCTGTGTTAATGTTTTGTTTTTTCCAAGCAGTATTCCAGAGCACAGACAAAAAGTAAACTGGAGGTCCATTACCGCATTCTACTACAGGGCACATCTCCAGGAGAACTGGAAGCAGAGCCCAACGGGATTTGAGCGTTCACATTTATAACATTATTTATGATAGTCAAACGGCAGGAAGAGAACACAGGTGTCCATTCACAGGCAGAGAGATAAACAAAACATCACATACACACACACACACACACACACACACAGTCTCAAACATAAAAAAGTCTGGCATGTTATACATGAATATACTTCAAAAGCATTACCCTAGGTGAAGTAAGACAGACACTAAGAGAAGCAAATCCCTTCTGCTGTTCATGGTTCCTAGAGCGGCGAACTCTACAGAGACATCCATTAGCAAGGTGACTCCCCAGGACTGGGAAGGAGAAGGCAGTAATGGGGAGCTGGCGTTTAGTGGGCACATAGTTTCAGCTTGGGAGGATAGAAAAATTCTTGGAAATGGATAATGGCGATGGTTTTAAAAACAATATAAAGGCGCTTCATGTGATAGGTTGAGCACGCAAAGTGGCTAAAATAGTGACTCCTTACACTGTGTAGATTTTATTATTGTGCTTTTTAAAAAGGTATAGCAGGATCCCACAGCGTACTACAGGGTCCCAGAGTGGGGGTCTCGTGTCTTCTGTTGAGGGGTGTCTAGAAATGCCAGCACTGGTAAGCTTGCGCTAATACCAAGCCTAATGCTCTGCAGTCCCTCAGAGGACAAGCACAGACTGAAGATAGGCTTGGCTGCTCCTCGTTGTCATTCAGAAGCCACCAAGGCTTTGACAAGCACCAGTCTACACCCTACGGCCCTCATAACCACATCTGGAAATAGTCCAAGATGCCCCAAGCTGCAATGTCTAAGGCAGTTCTCAACCTGTGGGTCACAGCCCCTTTGGGGGATCAGATAGCCTGCACATCAGTTATTTACATTACAGTTCATAACAGAAGCAAAATTATAGTTATGAAATAGCAATAAAATAATTTTCTGGTCAGAGGTCACCACAACATGAGGAACTGTATTAAAGGATCACGGGATTAGGAAGGCTGAGGACCACTGATCTAAGGCATAAAGGAACTAATCAGAGTAAATGAAACTCACCATAGTTGAGTCCGCCCAAGCTCTGAGACCAGCCGGGAGCCCCAGAGCCACCACCACAAGGATCACAGTGACCACAGGGACCACTGTGATCACAGGGATGGGAAGACTCACACTCTAGCAGGGAGCTGAGGTCTCAGTCACTTTCTTACTGGGATCCTGCCTGGGGTTTGCCTAGAGTGGCGTCTTGACCCTCCCAGCACTGGTTAACCCTCAAGTAGAGAAGCTTACTACAAAAGAAGCTTACTACTCAAACAAGAGAAGAGTTTTAGTTTCAGTTTTATCTGTGTTTACAAAACCAAAGAACTACTTAAGATATTGCTTACATGCAATAAATATCAGAAATTGAAAGTATTATGCACAGTCCCATGACTTTTGACAAATGAAAATACCAGGCTAGCCACTGTCCTGATTCAAGAAATACTTTTCTACTATATCCCAATATCCTTCCTGCTCCTGTGAAACCTGTCTTCCTCTGGTTCCAGACAGCAACTCTCCAGTTCCTACCACTGCCCCGTGTCCTTCCCAGAAACCTGTCCAAACAGAACAAGAGAGTGGCATTTTTTTTTGTTCCTGGCTTTGTTTCCCTGAGCATAATGCTTTTGAGATTCACTCCTGTGGTTGACTGTGTCCTGTTTCCCTTTAATTTTGTATTGCACTCTTAATGGGGGTGAGTGTCTGAATGGCAGAAACAGGAGGACTATAAGACTATATATTAGCTCAGGATAGTTGGTGTGTGTGTGTGTGTGTGTGTGTGTGTGTGTGTGTGTGTGTGTATGATATTGGAATAGTAGACATGTCTGGTTGGCAGGCCCATGATCTGAGGGCATGAAAGGAAATGCATCTGCAGTTAGGTAGGAGCAATGCATGCTGTCCAGATGGCATACACCTGTGCCCATCACTGGATGGCTCATGTTGGTGCTGGAAAGACCAGACACTTCACAGGAGACTAAAGACTTGATGTCATGTGTCTGATTCTTGCCAACCATATGGCAGATTTTGACTCCCCGAGTCTCTGCTCCCCATCTATAACTAGAAAGAGCACTGTCCATTGTGCATAGTTCAGAGAAATGATGTAGGGAGTTTTGAGATACTGAATAAGGAAGAGTCCTGGAGAAGGATGATGCAACATTGTGACCCTGGGAACTCAGTGAAGAGATTGCAGGACCATGTTGTCATGGGTACACATGCAATGCCAGAGCATAGATGAGAACACTTGCATCTTTCTGCAATATCAGAACTCACTGAGTAACATTGACAGTTGGGAGGCTTATGCTTCCTGAGACTCAAATGATGGACTTTTCCTAACTGATGGGCAATTTCTGGCCACTCCCAGTGACCACTCTCTTTCTGTCCCTATCAGTCAGAATCCCCAGCTACGGTTGCCTTTGTTGTGTCCCTCTTCTTCCAGCATCAGTAGGCATTTCCAGGCTCCACATCAAAATGTTCTATGCTGAATATCTATCAGTTCGTCTGTGATTGGACACTGGTGGAACAAAAGTAAAATCTGAATTAATCAGTCCATAATGAATACCTTCCCTTTGATCCTAAAATATTCCTCATTGGACTTGTGCCATAGGATGTCCAGCAGAATGAATGGTACATCGGAGAATACAGTCGCCAGGCAGTAGAAGAGGCGCTGATGAAGGAGAAGAAGGTAATGGCCCTACATTGTTCCTGTGGCCCTCACATGTATTTCTACATGCACACACACACAAAAGTAGGAAGGGGACTTGGGAAGGGGAGGCTCTATAGAAGAGGAAAGGGGTGAGAAAGGACAAGGGGGTACAATTTCTAGTTACTTCAGGGAAAACTCTGATGAAAGAACACTAAATATACAGACAAAATCGTGACATAATTTTCTTAGAATGCAGAGATATTTAAAATGGCCTCAGACCTAAGACTTGGTTTTGTCACTTATCAAAGATGTGACTTTCTCAAGTTTATAAACAAGCTAGCTGTTGATTGTTTATTTATAAAATGAAAATCAGTTTGTAAAAAATAACAGTAATGAGGGAGCCACTGAGAAACCACAGATGGTATCTGGGGTGCAGGAGTCACAATGGGCAGTGCCTCCTGCTCGCCTCAAATTTCATGCCCTCACGAAATGTGCACCTATGGCACAGCTGGGTCTCCCTGTCTCACTCCCTCAGGAAAGGAGCAGGGGTCATGAATCTTGCGATCCAGTATATGGCAGGTCATGCTGCAGTAACAGATACCCCCAAGATGTCTGTCATTTACCACGTGATACTATTTCTTCACCGCTCACCAGATTCCAGATAAATATTTATTTGGTCTGCGTGAGGCCCTGTGTCCACAGTGTGCTTCTACCTTCCCACTCTGGCTCTCCACACATCTCCCCAGGAGTAATATACTTCACCTTTTCCCTGAGCAAATTCCAAGACCAAAGCTAATTTCAAAGGGAATAGGGAGGTGCCCGCCTACCATGTAACCCAAAGGACAGAAAACCTTGAATAACTACCCATTCTTCATCACAATGCGAGTGACGCTGGGTTACTTAGAAATAACAAATAGCTGCTGTGTTTCTCAAACAGATTCTCAAACAGATTTACTGCTGAATGTGAAAACACAACGTGAATGAATCCGTTAATTAGTGAATAAATCACAGGTCTCCAACCCATCTAAGAAAACATACAATTGATGTAAAAAGTAAATTACTCATCAGTTGCTAAGATAGACAGAATCGTGGCCATTCCCCACCCCACATACCATGTCCTAAATCCTAGAATCTGTGAACAAATCACTTTATATAGAAAAGGGAACCTAGCAGATTTAAGTTGGAGTTAAGATGTGAAGGTCATCCTGAGCTGAATGACCCCATGTGATCCCCGATAAGCAGGGATGTCATAGAAAATACATGATTATTTAAGTAGAGGTCAGACTGATGGGGGCACCATGAGCAAGAAATTCTGGTTACCTCTAGGGACAATGAGAGCCACAGCCACAGACTCCATACCCCCACACTAGCTCTAGCTCAGAGACCCACATTGGACTTCTAACCGCCAAAACTATGCAAGAATGGCTTTACTTTTAAGTCACTAATCTCATGTTAGTTTGTTTACACTAGCAGTAGAGGCAAAGAACATTGCCCGCAAACCTTAATGACCCTATCAGGAATAAGTGGAACTATCCCGTTCCATAGGTGGGGAAGCTGAAGACAGGGTCTCAGTCACAACAAAGAGATTGGTACCCATTTCACCAAGTCTCGGCTGCTTCCAGCTACCATGACAGTTCTCTGCAGTGGGATGGAGCTTGAGGTTGACTGGTCCCCTATCCTAGAACCTCTAACCCCTCCCTCTGTCATGGCCTCAGATGTGTCTGGCCTCTGCCATCATAGGATGGGGCGCAGTGATGGTAGACCCCAGCCAAGGCTTCCTTTCTTGGGTAACCATTACCCACTACACTACTACAGTCACACAGCTGGACTTTCACCAGAAATCAATCTTAGAGGACCCAGACGCCGAAGCCCACATGTGAACTGTCAGGAGAGCAACGCTCAGGCCATCTGGCACTGCTGTGGCCGGGCTTGGTGCTCCTCAAATGCTCCCTTCCTCCATGTGGCCTATGCCGCCTCCTCCTAAGACACAGAATGGCACTGTCTGCGCCGAATGACGGCGTTTCCCTTTTCTGTTTGCATCGTCTTGTCAGGAAGCGTTTCCCCATTATGAGAGATAATTTAATTGAAATGAAAGATCTCCCAGTTTTATTTTGACAAGTGCCTTGCAGAGTTTAAGAAGAAAAGCCCAAGTTTGGCCCCAGTTCTTGGCCCCCATCCGCCTTCCTGATCTCTGGCAGTGTTCCGTGCTGGAGCCGTAAGCCTCTGCTTCCGAATGAACGCTTTCTGCAGAGAGACCCGCAGATGGTTCCTCATCGCCCTTGATGGAGCAGAAGTCACCAGGCTTACATTGCTGGGCTTCAAGCTTGGCTTTCAGGTTGATCATCTGCTAGCTGTCTGACCACTAGCCACGCGTGACCAAGAACAGCTCTGAATGCAGGCCAACATACAATTGTTCATTTACTAAAATCATTATGAGACTTTTTTTGTAACTTTTTTAAAAGCTTTATTTGAGCTGAGCAGTGCTGGTGCACGCCTTTCATCCCAGCACTCAGGGAGGCAGAGGCAGGCGGATCTCTGTGAATTCAAGGTGTGGTAGCATACACCTTTAATCCCAGTACCTGGGAGGCAGAGGCTGGCAGATCTCTGTGAGTTCATGGACAACCTGGCCTACAGAGTGGGTTCCAGGACAATCAGAGATACACAGAGAATCCTGTCTCAAAAAAATGGAAAAAAAAGCTTTATTTGTATTAGTTTTTTTCAAGTGTGTGGTTGTACGCACATGTGTGTGGGGGGTGCTCACAGAGGCCAGAAGGACATGTTTGATCCCTCAGAGATAGGCATGATTTTGTGTGCTGTCTGATCTGGGCACTGGGAAATTAACTAGGTTCTCATGACAGAGCTGCAAGAGCTCTTAATGGCTGAGCCATCTTTCCAGACTTTCTTTTTCTCTTTGAAATGTTGACTGCTCATTTCTTAAACATGAATTTTGTAGATGGCAACCTCATGTCCGGTCTCAATGTTAGACACACCTGCTAAGCCTGGGATATTTTTCTTAGGCTCAAAAGCCAAATCCAAGTGTCAGAAAATGGAGATAAAAGTTTTCCCTCAAGATTTAGGTAAAGACCAAATGAAACAATGCATGTAAGATGCTGCTCACCTTAAGGGCAGCTCTCGGTAGGCTTCTGCTGCTTACCTCATTATAACATAAACACAAAATAATAGTGCCATTCTTAAATTTAGTGTTTGTTAGAGAAACATATTGTATGGCATAGTGTTTTATATATTGATATGTTATAGATTATCTATATTATAGATTACTTATCAATATTCCATGCACTCTGTACAGATGACTATATAAAGATTAGAAATACAAATCATCATATATACTGTCTATCCCTATGCTATTTTATGACATTTACCATTTATGACATTTCCAGTTGGGACATTCAGTGCCCTCCAGCACGTGGACGACACAGCAGAACCCTGACAAGCCCTGCAGTGTGTTCACCTTTCAACCTCACACTTTCACCTCGAGTGATTCTCTCCAGTGTGTCTGGTTATTTCTGTCCCAGGCCCTGTTCTCAGCCCTTGATCTCTTCGGTCCTATTGATCCTTTGCCTACCTTTGCTAGCCACCCCTTGGCCTTAGATTAGACACTAAAGATTCTTGTACGTTTCCAATCTCCTCTTCCTGGTGCTGCCCTTGCCTTGACCACACTTCAGGCTGTATTTCCTGCTTCCTTCTCTCTACTCTGGCATCAGTCTCTGCAAACCCCCACCCCACTTTTGGGAACCCTGATCCTGCACTGGAATCTTCCTCACACAGGGGGCCAATTCCTTGGGCTAAGATCTTTGCATTGTCTGTGAAGGCTTCCTCCTCTCTCTAGAATAAGATTTGACCTCCAAGATGAACAGGAGACATATGAGCAGTGGGCAAGGGCAGAGAAACACACCAGAGAGGGACAAAGGAGAACCTCCCTGTGCAGAAAGGGGGCAGTGTGCAACAGATAGGAAACCCAGAGCAAATGTCCATTCAGAAAACGGTAGCCTAACTGGAGCCAGGAGCTGGGGACAGAAGATCAAACAAAGGACTGGCTGGTAAATCTAATATGAAAGCCTCATTAAGGATGTAAGAATTATGCAGAGAGTAGAGGGAGATTTTTTAAGAAGGAATCACCACTGTGTATGTGGTACACTCTCAGGAGGCAGAAAAAGAAATCTCATCCATATAGACACTGTGTCAGCCATTTCTGTGCAAAAGACCTGGGAAACTTTGAGAAGGAAGGGGGAGGGTCCTTGTTTCAACCCCTAGTAGGCTGATCCCATTGTTTTTAGATCTGTTGCAAAGCAGAAGTACTATGCGTGAAGGGCTGCCCACCTCACAGTAACCAGGAAGCAAAGAAGATGAGGCCGAGATACCTTTTTCAGAGGCAACAACCCCCTCCCCTGTTCCCCGCCACACCTCCCCACAATGGCCAACTTCCTATGACTAGGCCCTACCTCCGAATAGCCCATTCAGCTTTGAACTCACCAATGGCTTAGCCTCGGAATGTTAGCACCTTCATAAACCAATTGTCTCCCTGTAACACCACCAGTTAACACACAAGTCTTTTTAGTGGACACTTCATATTCAAACCCCAACAGGAACTCAAGAAAAGCTCACTGAGTTAAATGGAAGGTGCAGTTGTGTTGCCACGAACCTCACAAAAGCATCATTGTTGACATCACCTTAAGACCAGGGCCATAGGCACCTGAGAAGATAACCATAACTCCTTTTTTCTTTTCTTCAGGATGGTACCTTTTTGGTCCGAGATTGTTCCACAAAATCCAAGGCAGAACCCTATGTTTTGGTGGTGTTTTATGGGAACAAAGTCTACAATGTGAAAATTCGCTTTCTAGAGAGCAATCAGCAGTTTGCCCTGGGGACAGGACTCAGAGGAAATGAGGTGGGTGCAATCCAACGACTTCTCTTTCCTTGGCCAGAAGTAGAAAAGAAATATTAAGTTTGAGAGGTGCTAAATCCTTGCCTATCTACCCCAGTGAGCACAGGACAGGATTGAAAAGACGCTGCAATGATACCCTTCTAGACCCTTTCATGAACACCCTGTCGTGCTGTTCAGCTCACCAGGCCAGCAGTCCTCAAGGCCACAGAATGTCCCCTGTCGTCCTAAACCTATCAGAGAAACCTATTCAGAAAGCAGCAGCTACATTCTGACTGGTGGAGAGCTTCTCTCAGCCCATGCTCCACTCTCTTCTCCCACCTCCCCAAGTTCACTGCAGGCATTTCTGAAGTCAAGCATCTTTCACTTATCCACAAGATTCGGTCCTCAAAGTGAGTGTGTGTTCAACAGTAGAATTTGGTGCTAAGCTGAGGTCCCACTCTCAGCACAGGTGTGCTGATGGGAGGCCATCTACTGGCAAATCTACCCATTGCTGGGCCTAGTAGCAGAGAACAATAGCCCCACGTAGGTAAGAGTCTGAGGCAGGAAGATTGCCAAGGCTAGCCTAGGCAACTGAGTGTGACCCTATCTTCAAAGGTACAAATAGGGTTGAGGGTGTGGCTTACTGGTCGAGGGTTCACCTCGCACATGTGAGACCCTAGGTTCTACATTGCTACAAAAAAAAAAATCAACTAAACATCAATTAGTAACTATATAAATCAACTGATCAAGAGGAGATGCTTTAGTTGAATACATATTCCAGGTCTGTTCTATGTGCATCATCCTATTTCAATCCTCAACAATTTTTTTGATGTGATTGTTCCTATCTCAGAATTACAGAGGCTGAGCCCTAGAAAATTAAGTAAATGGTCAAAGGTGGAAGCAATAAGCAGGACAGTAAGCAAAGGCTGTACCCCCCAGCCTTTCTTTGATGAAAAAAATAAGAGAGAAAATGGGGAAGAAGGAAGTCAGCTGCACATCACCTTCTACTAAGGATGTGAATATGGGCACATCCCTCCACTTTTCTGGGCTTTAATCTCAAGTGCAAACTCTTAGGATCCGCATCCCTGTGATTCAGTGCTGGTCATTCTTTGTACTGTGGAAGTCAAGGCTCCAGACTTTGACTTCATCCACTGGAGGGGTCATGGTGTGGAGTGTGTGTCTCCCGTTCCCAAATTTACAAGATGATATCTGAAGTACAAAGACTTCACAGTAGTATTACACTTGGAAATAAGGCCTTTACAAAGGGACTTAAGATTCAATGACAGAGGTAACCTCTAATCCAACAGGACTGACTTCTTTAAAATAAACAAGTATTTTTCAAAGAGAAATCACAGGGCTGGGGAGGTGGTCACAGGTAGATCCCTGAGGCTCAATGACAGCCGGACTAGCCCACTTGGTAAACTTCAGTTCTTCAGTGAAAGAATTTGTCTTGAAAAATAATAAGGTGAGTTGGGCAGTGGTGGCGCACACCTTTAATCCCAGCACTTGGGAAACAGAGGTAGGCAGATCTCTGTGAGTTCAAGGCCAGCCTGGTCTACAGAGCAAGTGTCAGGACAGGCTCCAAAGCTATACAGAGAAACCCTGTCTCAGAAAACCAAACAAAAAATAAGGTGAACAACATCTGAAAATGACTCCTGAACTTGTTCTCTGCCCTCCTGAACACACATGTATCGACATCTAAGTACACACAAGCATATATACATGTGCATACACATACAAGTGAGAAGCACTAGGAAGTCAGAGAGTCAGAGATACAGTGACAGTTAGAAGCTCTCATCAGGACTCTTGGCCTGTGTTCCATCCATGCTTCATTTTTTCTGGAAAGGGGAAATGGTATCTGTGTCTCCTGGGACTCTCTGGTACTGCTGCAGTCCAAGCTTGAAGTTGCAAAGACTTTTCTTGAATATTCTTACTGAGGCTCAAGTGTTGGTCTTAACTCCTCAGCTGAGTGGCCCAGCTTCTGCCTTGAAACAAGGGAAGGGATCTGCCAGGAAGCAATACCTACTGTACAATAAGCGTAGCAGCCAGGAAGAACACATGCCATCTAGAAACCAAGTGTACAATTGATGGAGAAGCTGAAGGCCTTCTGCAGAGAGTGATGTAATAGTCTAACTCAGTCTAGAAACGCTAGTAAGAAGGAGGAGCAGCTTAACAGATGCCACGGATCTTGATGCACAGATGGAAATAGGTCACTAGCAGAAAGAAACACTGGGATGTGGGTCGGTGGATAGAGTACTATCTTGGCAAGCATGAAGCCCTGTGTTCCATCTACATAAAACAGGTATGGCGGTGCACATCTGTAATCCCAGCACTTGGGAGGTAGAGGCAAGAGGATCAAGTTAATCCCCAGTTATATAGTAACTTCTAGGCTAGCATGAGACCCTATCTCAAAAAAAAGGGGTGGAGGAGGGAGCTGGGTTATGATTTGTCAGTGACTGCATGGCAGCCATATTGAACCAGAGAAGAACAAACATTTTCCAAATGATCCCAGATTGCAATTGCTGTGTCTCATGACCTCAATAAGAACACACTAGAGGAAAAAATATCAAGCCACTGTCACTAAGTATCCTTTCCAAAGCCTTTGAGCCACCTTGTTTCCACTCTCTTTTATTCTTAAAATACATAAACAAGGGCATTTCAGATACTTGAAACACAGGCCTAACACGAAATACTAATGTCTAACTTGAGACACTAATGTCTGGTCTAACCTGAGACACTAATGTTTGGTCCAACATGAGACACTAATGTCTGCATTTTGCTGTATTCACAAACAGTGGTCAACTGTTCTGAAACAAATTTACTTGAGGTTTTACTCATGAAAATTATCAGCTGATGCAGCAGTATATCCACTTGGTTTGTTTTGTGCCACGTGCACTGTAAAGATAGTTGTAGGGTCACTTTCACAGTTGTACTTGAGTGTGATTATTCTCTAACTAAGATCCTTTAAATTTTATTTATTTATGTGTATGTGTGTGTGCCTGAGTACATTATGCATACCACATGTATGCAACTGCACATAGAGACCAGAAGAGGACACTGGATCACTTGGAACTAGAGTTGTAAGTCAGTAGATGTGGGAGCTGGGAACAGAACCCAGGGCCTCTTCAAGAATAGCAATTGCTCTTACCCATTGAGCCACCTCTCGGGCCCCTGAGTATCTTTTAAATGATCCCATTTAAGTTTATATTTGGGGAATAGTAAAGGAGTCAACTTTTTCTAATTTCTATCGAGGAAAAACAAGTGTTGTGGCTCTATAGATTTACCTGTAGGGAATCAGATTAAAAGCATCTAGTTAAAATATGCCAGGGCCAAAAACAAGATAGACATTTGAAAGTTAAAAATGAAACATCCAAGCCAACACATTAATGTATACCAAAAGAGCATACAGCTTGTTCTTAATAGTTCCATCTTCCCAAGGCACACAGGAGAGAATGTTGAAAGGGCACATGGGCTCATCAGAATAGGATACAATACTGAGACCCAGTGATCTTATTTCTTAAGTGTAGTAAATAGGCATCTGCCAACAGTTATACTAAAGTCTTTTATAATATTCATTTTATTTTTAATTATATGTCTATGTGGGTATCTGTGTTTGTGCACATAAGCGCAGGTGCCCAAGAACACCAGAAAGGGGCATCAGATACCCAGGAACTGGAGAATAGGTGTTTACGAGCCACCATGTGAATTTTGGGACTAGAACTTGGGTCCCCTACAAAATCATTAAATGCTTCTAACCATTGATCCATCTCTCCAGCCTCTGTCCATTCCCCATTTTCATTTAACTGAAATAGTTTTGATGACCATTTAATAGCTTTCAGTAGACGTTTCTGAGATCTGGCATTCAACAGCTATTCTTATCTGACCCCAGGGCATTGGGGCAAAGCCTGCTTAGAGCAGACAGTTGAGGAATGTCCAATCTCTAAGTACCTACAGAAGAAAGAGCCAGGGTGATACATGTAATTCTTGAAGCATATTAACTTTACCCTGGAAAATAAAAGGAACCAGACTATTTTAGTATAAGTTCTAATATAACTTGAATGTAAAAACATGTTTTCTTCACTGTAGTCTCATTGTGTGTGTCCTGTTTGTTCTATAAGTTTACCATGGGACTAGACTACCAGTGTACCTCTGTTATAAATGACTTGATTTCAAACTATATTTCAAAGTAAATCCTAGTATGATTTTAACAAAGATAAAAGAAAAGCTAACATGGAGAGGGAAGAAGATGTGAGCAAAAACATCAGGTGAAGTCAGCCATCTGCCACCAAAGGAGACAGGCTCAGGGAGAGTCACCACGTAGATGCCTGGGACCTCTGGCCCGCTGAACTGTGGGGAGATAGATTTCTGTTGTTGCTTTCAGTCTGTTATGACCGACATTATTTCTTCCCCTCTTATGACAGAACTTGCAAACTTACACAGTGCCATCCAGATCATCCATAAATACCAGTAGTTCATCAGTAGATGCTGAAATAATGTCACCAGGGCTTAGATAGTGAGCACATGTGTGGCAAGCCTGTCATCTGCCTGTATGAAGAGTCCTGATTGCATCTAGTCTCTGATACAGAGTACTTTTCTGAGAATCTCATGTGACCTGAGGAGAGGTAGCCAGCACTGGGGAGGGGACAGTAAGATGGGTAATACTGTCAACTTGATATATCTAGAATCTTCTAAGAAACACTCCCCCGAGAATTTGATTCCATTAATTGAGGTGTAAAGACCCACCATAAAAGCACTGTGCACCACATATAAAGGAGAGGAAGTTGAGACTCAGAATTCATGGTTCTCTGCCTCCTGACCGTGGATATAGTATGACCAGCTGCCGCAGGCTCCCGCTACCAGGATGTCCCCAGCACTATGGACTGCACTGAATCTTAACCTACTCCCAGAATCCTTTCTCCTCAAGCCGCTTTTGCCAGGGTGTTTTATCAGGGCAATGCAATGACAACTAAGATAGACAAGGAGATCAGTTCTCCAGCCTTTCCTCCCACGATGCACGAACTGAGCTGGTAAACAGGGTAACACAAAAATGGCCAAATGCAGCCACACTCAGAGGCATTGTCTAAAAACTCAAGAGCCAAGTGGCCAGTTCATTGGTGTGAGGACTAGCAAGCCAGTGAACAGAGGTGACACAGGGTAGGATAGGTCCCGCCATAATTATTAGTTACAATTTTCTTGTGATTATTGGTGCATCCTTTTGTTAACAACCCCATGCAGATAGAAAACTATGGTGAACAGACCAGCCAGCTCCAGTTCACTGCATCCGTCAACATCTTCTTCTAGCTCACAGAATTTTTCATCTTAACAATAATAAAAACATTGTATGATTTTTTTTAAATGCTTGGAATTCATGGTTTCTTTCCCTTATAGAACTAGGAAATGGCTACTCTAGGGCCCTCTCTCCTCCAGGAGATTTGTAACTTGCTCCCTCACATGGTCCTTGAAGCACTTCTAGGAAGGCCACATGGTTGAGTCCCACTCACTGGGGAGAAGCAGAGCCTTTACTAAGGACTCAGCTTTGTTCCCAGCACACCATGCTTTACCTGCTAATGAAAGAGAGGATGCAGTGTAACAGTGTACTTACATTCTAACAGCATCTTATCGGATCACAAGCTATCCACGGGCTGCCTTGGAGGTAAGGAACTGTCATCTGAGGCCACCTGTACACCCCACCATAAGCGCCTGACAAGCTGTTCCAATTACAGGATCCTAGCACCTGCTTTTGAAATCCTCTTTCTATATTAGTCCATAATTCTCTCTTCTTTGCACCCCCGGGACATGAGTTTCCCTTTCATTCATCTGTAGAGCATGTAAATACATGCATTCTACACAGGCACATGGATGCACTGAGGACTCAGAGTCACCCTGGGAGGCAGGCGCTGCTCTCATTTTCTAGATGGTGAAAGTGAAGCCCAGAAAGAGGAAGTAAAGAGCAGTGCTGGGATTTACTCTCCTTGGCAAACAACTCGGCCTTCTCACACAATCTCACCCAGCTGATGACAGCCCCAGGCACTGCAAGTTGAGAATAAGCAATGCCTACTTGGAGCTTATGTGTGCCGAGCATCTTGAGAGAAACCGCAATCTACAGAGATTCTTCTCACTGTTGTTGGGAAGCGCTGAGGCCTGCTGTCAGAGTGAGATGGGCCCATGTGCCTTCAAACCTGACCCCTCTGTCTTACTGAAGAACTTCTCATCGTTAAGAGAATTGGAAGAAATCAGATTCAGAAATCTCTGCTCAAATGCAAGACCTCCCAGATCTTCCATCTGTGCTCAGACAAAGAGCATCATCGGCCACTTCAGCAGGAAACACATGATGAGGAAGAGGCTTGTGGGGACAATATTCACTTCATTTCATTTTCATCTACCTTGTGGGCTTCGTAATGGCACAGGAAGACAGTAGCTCCTGGCTCACAGCAGCCATCCGTGTGAGAGATGGCTCGGTATAAATACCACGGCAGGTACACAGAGGCAGGTGCTGCGAAGGAGCCAGTCTCTTCTGAGCTGACCCCGGAAAGTCCTTTCCTTGAGTCCCTGTACCTCAGGCAAAGGGGGAACGCCATACCACAAGGCCTCTAAGAAGCACCCGGGCCAGACCCAGGTCAGGCTCTTGCAGTCTGCCATCCTCATCAACACAGAAGGCAAGCAAGGTCATGTATCCCCAGAACAAAAACCTGGGAGGTTATTCCACAGGTCAGGAAGACAGATCTCTGGTTTCAGATCCAGGAGTACCCATTGCTTTAGTGTTCTGTCTTTCCATAACTTTCTACAACCTGGAAGGCTTAGGACAGGAGAAACTCATCAATGCTGGAGAGCAGAAGTCTGACATCCAACCCTTCCCCACCCCAAGGAGACACTCTGCCACCCTTGGTGCCCCTGGCTCTTGGCTCCAGTGCTTGCCTCCCGGGAAACATCTTCTCTGATTAAAATCTCACTGCCACAGGACTCCATCTAGGACCTGTGTCTTCCTAGGGATAACCTAGGGTGAACTCCATTCAAGAGTGTAATTTGCCAAATAAAATGCTATTAATACTTTCAAAACATAGAGTAATGAGCATAGATTCTAGGTCACAGATATGGATGTGCTGAAGGTACAATATTTAGCTCACGATGCCTAATTATTCACTGACTGGACCAGCAACCATTTCATGGCTACCCAGGGTTACAAGACTTGTCCATACCTCTTTGTGCGGACACCTGGGCAGCAGTGGGTTTCTAAAAATGATGATATTACTTGACAACTTAAGCTTTTTGTTTGTTTGCTTGCTTTTAAGCTTTTTGTCTGTTTGTTTGTTTTCAAGACAAGGTTTCTGGAACTTCCTTTGTAAACAAGCCGGCCTTGAGCTCACAGAGATCCACCTGCCTCTGCCTCCCAAGTACTGGGATTAAAGGCATGTGCCTCCAATCACCTGGTTTGGCAATTTAAGCTTTTAAGACTAAAAGACAGATTAACAATAGCCCACGTCTTTCTTTCTCATCTCCCTGACTTCTTCCTTATCCTCCTCTGCAGAGCTCCTCTCTCACACCTCTCTCTCTCTCTCTCTCTCTCTCTCTCTCTCTCTCTCTCCCTTCCTTCCTCCCTCCCTCCTCTCTTTCTGCTTTCCTGACAAGGGGGGGGGGACTGTCTACCACTTGCATATAGGACAGACACAAAGGATTTAAACAGGCTTTAGTATCTAATATTAGGACATTTGACATTCTCTGTTGTCCTTGGAGGGGGGAATCAAAGACAAAAATAGAAGCTTAATTACAGCCTTTTCTCCCAGCCTTTGCAGGCAGCCTTGCAGCTGTGGGTACAGCACTGGATCCACTAAGAAGGGACAGGAGCGTGGTTTATTGCACCTGCCTTGCTCCCTAATAGTGTGATCTCATAGAAATTATCCATGGAGTCGAATGGTGAGGCGACTCTTATCAGAGTGATTATCTGCCCTTAACTGTCTGTGAACACATTCACTGGACAAGCGCTGCACAAAAAGGTTCTCTGTATTGACCACTTTGTTGAGTGTAAAGGAAGAAAAGCCCATCCTTGGTTTGAAATTGGAAGTGAAATTCCAAAAGTTCCCTGTCTTCCCGAGGCTTGTGAAGAGAGTCTAGAATGCATCCCATGCTCTCACATTTATTGACCCTCACTGTGTGCGGAAATATAGGGAAGGCTTTCTTCCAGATGCTGTCCTTGCCTAAGTTCCACTGATGCTCACAACACAGAGGCAAGTCCCATTGTCACCAGCACTCTTTGTAGACAGAGAAACTGAGTTTAAGAAGTTGGCCTTGGGTCACCCAGCTTATAGCTGGCAGAACACCCAGACATTGAACTCAAGCCTTCATTTGTGATGACCTCATAAATAATTCATTCAGGTCATGGGCTGGGAAGGCTGTGATGGAGCTGGGAGGATCTTTGAGGTAAGTGGTCTGACTGGGAAAATTCTGTACACAGGAAACTTCAGAGCTACCATTAGGTCCACAAGCACTTTCATTCCCCCTTGTGCAGCGCACAAGGCCCGTCTGCGCTCTATGCGCTACCATACAGTTTGTGAGCTTCCGGGCTTCAGGCAAGGAGCTGGAAGTTGAAACACACAAACAGACAGATACACGGACCTCTAGTCACTGGTAAGAAGCCCTTTATTCAATAACACCATGGAGACTTATATACCCAACAATCAAGTGGACCAACAGGTGAAAACCTTATCCTCTGATCCTCAAGGCTGAGGGCAACACGTGCTCGTGAAGCAGAGCTGGTAAACAACTGTGACACAGCTTTAGTAACTCAAATCAGAAGGAAAGTAAAGATCTCTCGCAGGGAAGAGCAGCTGGAGGCCAGGACTCCAAATGGTCCCAACACCCTTGTCCTCTCCTTGTGTTTGTCAGTCATCCTTCAATTGCTTGTTTGCTACATCCTCAAAGAAAGAAAGGAGGAGGGAGGGAGGGAGAGAGGGAGGAATGAAGGAAGAAAGGAAGGAAAGGAGAGAGAGAAAGAAAAGAAGGAAGGAAAGGAAGGAAGGAAGGAAGGAAGGAAGAAAAGAGTGAGTCAGACATAGAAAGGGTAAGTCAGACATGGTGGCTGACCCGTGTAATGCTATCCTCCTGAGGAGGCAGAGGTACAATGTTTGCTGCAGGTTCAAGGCCCATCTGGGCTCCAGAATGAGCTCTAGGCTAGGCTGAGCTTCAGTGTGAGACCCTATCTCAGAGCACCACCACCAATATCACTTTCTAACACGTCTCACTACAAAGTCAAAAGTATGAAATCGGTCACCTTCCCTGAGTAGCATGCAACAGCTGAGCTGCACTACAGGCACCAGATGCGTTCAAACATGTTCACTTTGCTTTCTGTGTTTCAGATGTTTGATTCTGTGGAAGACATCATTGAATACTACAAGCGTTTCCCCATCATACTAATCGATGGAAAAGACAAGGCCGGTGTGCACAGGCAGCAGTGCTATCTCACCCAGCCCCTGCCTCTCGGCAGGCTTCCACTGACTCCGTACTCCAGCCAGGCACTTCATGAGTAAGCAGCCTAGCCAGGTATTTCCACATCAGCCGCCTGGACCGTGGCTCATCCTCAGCTCAAAGGATTCAACGCTTCTACCATCTGCATTTATCACAAATTATATTGTCTGTGCCTTCAAACGATGGCTTTCTTGACTCTGTAAAAAAAAATCTGTAATAGAACTTGAGAGCTCAATTATGGCTTGAAAGCTTGAGTCATAGAAGAAATATGTGCAATCTGCAAAAAAGAAAAATCAAACCTAGGTTTTAAAAAGAATTTTCTAAATGGGAAACTGTAGACATGGTTATCATACATTAGCGATGAGTAGCTAATGCAACAAGATCTGACAATTTCGATGTTTGTAGCAGGTGTGAGATCCCCAAACTGCTACTCAGTGGAGGACATCAGGCTGACCTCAGTTCAGAACGTCTTGCCCTAGAATGCTATTTTTTGGATGCTGAGGATGACAATGAATGTTATTTAGTTCTATTTATCTGTAATCCTTGAAATTCAAATACTGGAAAGAGATGTGGTATGAGAGAAAAAAAAAAGCCATTGTGAATATCAGCCTGCAGACAGAGAGAAGAAATAAGGGGACCATGATGTGAAATGGCCAGAGGCCCAGATGTCAGCCTACTTTCTGAACGGTGACGTTCATGGAACTAGCAGATCCATAGCGAGGAACACAGAGCTCACCCCAATCATAAAGCAAGCATTCATTTGAGTTACAGCGACAATGTTTTGAGCAGTTTAATGATACGTTTCCATTACAGGAAGGGAAGAACTGTCCTCAGAAGAGTACTGATAGTTACAACAGCAAAGCACATCATGGCATTGTCTCTTCTCAGGCAGTGTATTCCTACTTTATAACACAGATGAGGCAGGGGCATTCAAAGATCTCATTTAGTGTAAGAAGAGAGCCTGGATCATAACCCAGTTTGTCTGTTCCATGTCTCTGCGTCATCCCAGATATATTCTCTACTCTATGGGCTTTTATAATTGAGCTATGAGCTCTTATAATTAAAGTTGTACTTTAACAATACATATTTATCCACCTTAAATGCTTATAGTACACTTAGTTCACCAAAATAAGGTGTCATTGAATAAATAGGTATACCATACGCCATGGCTTCAATTATTACCAAATACCACATGTAAAATTCATGGAGCATTTATGAAATTTGAGTTTTCATGAAGAAATAAAACTAGCTAGAGGACAGGAGAATGTAGTTAAGTTGGCAGAAAGCACACCCAGCCCTAGGTTAAATTCCCAGCACTGTATAAAACCGAGTGTGGTGGTACAGACCTGTAAGCTCAGCACCTGGGAAGTAGAGGCAGTGTGTGTGTGGGGGGTCAGAATCTCAAGGTCATCCATGACTATACAGCAAATTCAAGGCCATCCAGGATTACATAAGACAGTGCCTCCAAAAGAGAGAGAGTGAAAAGGTAAGAGAATCAAATGCAAACAGAACAAGCAATTTCTAGCATTGTTTTGTAAAATGGTGGCAGGCAAGATGCTCTCTGTAGGAAGATCCAGACCAGAGTTTGCCCATAGACTAGAGCATCATGCTGAGCAGAAAGGGCTGGGTCCTGGTGCCTCATCATGTCAACTCACTGGCTGGAGATCTGAGCTTTGAACTCTGTAACAGACACAGAAATTACTTGCCAGGGACTTGTCCACTGAATTGCTGGGCAACATTCCTGTGTTTACTATTTCCAGTGTCTGTTACAATGAGGTGTTCTGTTGCAATTGATGACTAAGGGATAGCATATGAAAAACTGAGTGTACTTCATTCTTACAATAGATACTAACACCTTGGCTTGATCTTAAGGCGGCATATTTGTGACTAAAGCTGGGAAGTACAGTTCTTCTGTTCTCCACTTACTGGTTTTATTGGATCCCTAGCTGAAAAAGCCAGTGATGGGTAGCATGCTAAGATGTTTCGGTCTTTCTAACTAGTATCTCATTTTCCATTTTAAAAATGTCACTTGGCACCTAGCCTCAGTAGGACAATGGAATTTCAGTTCCTCTGGTAATGGCACTTGTGAATTCCAGAGATTTCTCTTGGACGACATCTGTGTCTCCTCCAGTTATCAGGCAGCACCGTCACAGCCCTGGCTGTGTGCTGCATGTCCTTGCTAGGGGCTGTTGGAGATGTTGAGAACACTGGAGTGAGCAAGAGAGACAGACACAGAAGTGCACACATAAACCGATAATCCAAGTTAGTTTCCTGTTACTCTCTGTATCTCTATTTGAATACATCACTGAGATCTTTAGGGGAAGGAAAATGTTAGATTTGTTTGTTCGTTTGTTTTTCAAGACAGGGTTTCTTTGTGTAACAGCCCTAGCTGTCCTGGAACTCTCTCTATAGACCAAGCTGACCTTGAACTCACAGAAATCCGCCTGTCTCTGCCTCCTGAGTGCTGGGATTAAAGGTGTGCGCCACCACTGCCCAGTTTGATTAACTATATTATATCTTCAAGCAATTTAATTAATTCATTCTAATTAATATGAAAAAGTCAAGCTTGACTCTATCAGATATAGTTATTATTATGTGTGTGAGCACATGTTTTAAAGAAGGCCTTAACTATGTATGATTCACATTACACTTGTACATCTATTGGTTTAGTCTTAATAATATGTATTCAAGCTAAGCACATCTGCCTTACAATACTTGAAGTTTGTGGATTGTTAATTTAAAAGAAAGCAAGTATGTAACTCGATATTGTAATACTCTTGTCACTGAGGGTGGAGAGGAATTCAAAGCATAATTTTAATCTTCTTTGTTTCTTGTGCTATTGCCCCTAAAGCACTTTGGAAATCACACTTAGGGCAATGTTAAGAAATATTCCTATATGAGTACTATGCTAGATTCTAGGGATAAAGATGGAGACACAGCCATGTGACTCACAGCTCAAAGCAGACAAATTGCTGTCAAATTAGCCGAAAGGGGAAAAAAATTAAAACACAAGAATTAGCAATGGACATGGGTCAGCTGGGAACTTGACCTGATAATAGAAGTATCAGATGGTTCAGTCACTATAGAAGACAGTAGAGTCTCGATAAAAATTAAGAAGGGTCGCGACGATGGCTTTGGGACGGGGCAGCTGATTGCTGAGGAGGGAGTGGGCCCTGCGCCCGGAGTTTCAGAGGCCGATGCTCACGTGCAACTTGCGCCTTGGCCACCTCGGCGCCTGCTCCAAGCATTTCGAGAAGCTGCACGAGATCTCCCGCGGCCTTCTGGAAGACCTACAAGGGGTTCCCGAGTGGCTGCTGGGGACTGCGGGAACCGAAGAGAAGAAGAAGCTGGTCAGAGATTTTGATGAAAAGCCAACAGGAAGCTAATGAAACGTTGGCAGAAATGGAGGAAGAACTACGGTATGCACCCCTGACTTCCGTAATCCCATGATGTCGAAACTTCAAAACTACCAGAAGGACCTTGTTAAACTCCATCGCCAGGTGAGAAGCACTCCTTTGACAGCCACACCTGGAGGCCGAGGAGATGTGAAGTACGGCGCATGTGCTTTAGAGAATGAGCGTTTGAATCGGCTACAGTCTCAAAGAGCATTGCTACTACAGGGCACAGAGAGCCTGAACCGGGCCACCCAAAGCCCTGAGCGTTCTCATTGGATTGCCACAGAAACTGACCAGCTTGGTAGAGAAATCATAGAAGAGTTGGGGGTACAACGAGAACAGTTGGGACATCCCAAGAATAAACTGGTAAACCCAAATGAAAACTTGAGCAAATGCCGAAAGATTCTCCACTCAATGTCCAGAAAAGCGACAACCAACAAGCTTCTGCTGTCCATCGTCATCTTTTGGAGCTAGCCATCCTGATCGGTCTTGTGTAGTACAAATTCTTTCGACACCATTGAACCTCCTGGAGGGAAGGGATTGTGGACCAGAATCTTGACTCTGAAGGAACGGTGTTAAGCATATATATTGCTACTGTGGGCTAACAGTTCAAGAATGCATTGTGTAGCCAGACTATGGGAGGGAGGGCGATGGAAAATCACATGAATTATGAAGGAACAGCAACAAGATCAGGATGATATACCAAGGTAATAAATGTTGTTTATGACTCCTTCCGAAGAAGAAGAAGAAGAAGAAGAAGAAGAAGAAGAAGAAGAAGAAGAAGAAGAAGAAGAAGAAGAAGAA